GAGGGGAAAATCACCAAGACGACGGTTAGAGATAAATTAGGTTGGGCTGGATGCGCTGGTAGTGCAGGGACCGGGGGATAATTTTTTTATTGCCAATAATTTACCCAAAAAGACCAACGTCTAAAAATGTATCACTCTCTGGACCTATCGTCAAACTAAAAGCTGAAAAGTTTTCTGAACAACTTGACAGTATAGATTCCAATGATTCGGAAGGATGGCTGAGGAAGCTCAAACAGAGACAGACAATCCGTGATGTCGACAGAAACGTCACTAACGATTGGCTGGAGAAGACGTGAAGATTTGCAGAAGAGTACCCTGCTGACGACATTTTTAGTGCTGACAAAACTGGTATTTTTCATAAAATCATGGATGACATCGCAAATTTTTGAAGAGGAGATACGGAAATGGGATGCAGAATTAAAGAGGAGGAAAATATTACTTCTCTCGAGTCCGAAGACAAATTTTCCATTAATAATTAAACTTTATTCACTCCAATTACCGAGACAGAATGCCAACAGGACTTGGAAGATGATCAGCCACTAAGCAAGTGGATAAAGCAGTTTCAAACAACAATTACCTTTATAAGAGACGAGTTGCAAGAATTTATGGTGATAGATTTGCCTACAGCAGCAGACTTGACAGAGGAAGCCATATTACAACAAGCAGGAAAGGGTGAGGAAGAGCACCAAGAGGAAGAAAAAGATGAAGAAGTTGATCTGGGACCACCACCAACCATTTAACAAGCCCTATATTCAATTAAGCTGCTGGAGAATTTTTTTGTGTATCGTGGGGAAGATGCCCCTCTCGAACAAATGGTGAAAATACAAGCCAAAGTACGAGATGCGTATTGACATACTAAAAAAATTCAAAAGAAAATGACCGATTATTTGAAACATTAAATGTAGTTCTTAAATATTTATATAATATGAGTAGATGTTAAAATATTTATATAAAATAATTAAATATTACACATCAAGTGCCTATAACTATAACGAAAACTCTTCATAACAAAAAAAATAGTCCCTTCAATTTCGCTATATAGAGTTTCGAATGTGTGTTTTCAATCTTTTTCGCCGAGCAATTCTTGAAACGTGTACATAAAAAAATTAGTACAAAGTAACAATTTATTACGTTTTATTTCATTAAATTTCTACATAGTATCATTATTAATATACAAACTGATCGTTCTCGATAAATATTTTTTTTCTATTACTATTCGTTTTTCATAGTTAGACCAGTTTTGATATTCTAGATACCTCTTTCCGAATTACGTTTATGGTACTCTCACTAAATTTTGGTGGAGTGTAATTTCTCCTTATATGCGTTTTCAACTCAGACCAAATCATCTCAATCGGGTTAAATATACAATAACGGGGGTAATCTCAAGATTTCATGTCCGTTTTGTTGTGCTAACGTATTAAAAAGTCTGCTGTTGTTTACAAATCAAACTTACCTGTAAGATAAATAGAGTACAGGTACTTACCCTTACCTTTTGAATCATCCAGCGAAAACACCCTCGCAGCGTCAAAGCTCGGGAATACGTACTTACTGGAAGGATCACATTCATATACCTCTGTAATATATACGAACATACTGCAATTTCGATTAAACTCTTAAGTACGATACCGCTTCCATTTATTCGAAAATAAACAAATTTAAAACGGTCCATTAACGTTTCAAATAAAAATTTCAAGTTTTTACAAATATTCATTACAGTTCATCTAAAGCAAGACCTACTTAATGGGGTTTACGACGGCCCTGCGAACGTCTGCGGTTAAGGTACCGTAAAATAATTAAAACCGCAAAGCAATAAATGCAGTAGATTTTTGGTCGTACAACTCAATTTTCGCGTATATTTTATGTAAACCACGCCTAGAATGTCGCCCGGCGCATTCGCCAAATACGTTGGTTTTTTGAGAGTGGGAAAATGCTGGGTTTATACGACTATAAAAATACTTAGCTTGTGGCTACGTCACAGGCCAGTGAAGAAGTATTATTTTTAATGTTTGAGATATTGCTCGAGATTGTATTCCGGCGGTCGTTGCTTTTATTTGTGACAAAACATACATTGAAAATAAATCTGTACACCTTTGTACATAAATAAAATAAGCGACTACATTATTCGCATTTATGGTTCCACCATTTGACAACATTGAGAGTGACGTGTCATAGGAGAGTCAATGAAAAATCGGATGGCGAAAGGAAAAGTTTAGTTAGTATATTATCGACTCAGAGTTTCAAGACAGAATTACTTTTAGCACAATCACTTCTAGAAGCCCTTATAATATGTAGATTTAAATTGAAAAAATGTCAGACTTTAAGCAAATAATATTTATAAATATAAATATACAGATAATTCTCATTGTTTGCTTGTTCAATATTGAGGTGGCTTTTAATTGATGAAAATCCATTTAACAAAATAAATAAGAACTAAAAGTTCAGATTTTCAAGAAATTATATATATTCACATGCCAATTGTTTCGACAACACCGTGTCTCAATCAAATGTAATATTTACAAACTACCTGCTACTATATATTCCGAAAAATGACAATAAAGCCTTGATTAATGTTGTTGTGAGAACCTGTAACCTATTGGCGAAACAAGATTTATTAGATTGCTAATAGTCTCTTTAGACCAAAATTATTTTGAATTTAATGGACAGATTTACATCTCTAAATAAGGTTTGATTATGGGGAAACTCAGTTAGTCCTTTGTTAGCCGAGATTTTTATGGATAATTTGGAACATATACTAGAACATCCTTTAAGTAAAAGTTTTCTATGGTGGTATAGATACGTGGATGATGTCTTTGCTTGCTTTGTTGGAGTATCGTATAAAATTCACTATCGAGATTGGACAGGATAACCCCATTAATTTTTTAGACTTAACTATTACGAAAACGCAAAACGAATTAGATTTTTCCATTTACCATAAACCTTCACACACGGACACAGTCATACATAACAGCTCAAATCACCCTCGTGACTGCATTTCACTCTTTTATATACAGACTTCTTAATACGCCACTGTCAACAGAAAATTACAACAATTAAACAAATTGCACCGAACAACTGCTACAATCCGTCCATTATTGATAAAATTATAAATAAAGAACAAATCCAGACAACAGTGAACTCTATTTATCCGAAACCTAATACAGAATAGGAACAATTTAAAACAATGACATACATAGGAGAACCCAGTGAAGAAGTTTCAAAACATTTGTCAAAATTTTAATCAAGGTTTTATTGCCATTTTTATTACAATATTACATTTGATAAAGACACGGTGTTGTCGAAACAATTGTCATGTCATAATATATAATTTCGTGAAAATCTTAACTTTTAGATCTTATTTATTTTGTTTTCTTGTTAGTTGTTATGTAAATTTGCCAAAACATATTCCCAAATTTACTTAATAGTACAGCTTAGACCTATAGTTCATCGGTTTTAAACCCAACAGATAGAAAGTGATTTTTACAAAACTACTTTTGATTAGTTTTGGTTAGTTTTAATTGTGATTAATTAATAATCTAATAACGAAATTTTTGTGGGTATTAATTAGACGATCATGTTTCATTCAATTTTTTTATATAATATATTTTGCTAATTCTGGCCTATACCTAAACCCAAATATTTTTAAGTTGTTAATTAAAAAAAAATGATTTTTTTTTAAGATGAATAAAAATTGAAACCGTTTATTTAGACGTTTTTTCATGATAAAACTTGTGAGAACAACCAAAGCTTAATAGTAAAATTGAACAAAAGAATATAATGTAATATATATATATATATATATATATATATATATATATATATATATATATATATATATATATATATATATATATATATATATATATATATATATATATATATATATATATATATATATATATATCTGGCCCACTATGGCGCAGGCAGATATATACTGTCATTCTGGTCCCAAAAACCACTTACGCTTCGATCGTTTGGTGGATAGCCCTGAACAGGCAAACCAACATCAAAGCATTAAACAGACTTGCGATGCTGGGTATAACAGCTGCTATGAAAACTACGCCCACCCTGTTTATATATGCTAAAACCTCGGCGGAAAAAACTGCCATGAGGCTGCAGTTTAATGGTTTTTGGAGGAAGGCGGTTTATGGACATGCAGCTCCAAGAGCTACCACTTCAGAGTAATCTTCCCATATAATAGGCAGGAATGAGAACTCGTCAAGCTTCCTGAAACCGAAGGGGCTCATCTGGTACACAGACGGGTCCAAGACACAGAAAGGACCAGGAGCACCATACTGGTGCGATGGACCAAGAACAGACCACCATCTTCCAAGCAGAGATTTATGCAATTTGGGCCTGTGCCAGACACACATATATATCTGTTGCGACAGCCGTGCAGCCCTCAGGTCGCTCAGTCGAAATCACCGCAAGGTATCCGAGATTGCATTGAGATGCTTGACAGGCTTGCTAAGACGGGAACGAGAGGTCAGATAGGCTAGAAAAAGTGGAGCTTGTCACACAAGTAAACTACCTATCTGTCCTAGCCCAGAACCCGACAGCTTCATTAAAAGTCTATCTGAAGGTATGAGACACGCACTAAGGCCCTCTTGCTTCCAGCCTTATCGGGCTCAACAGGAATCAGCTGAGGCTGACTATTGGACTGATAACTGGACACTGGTCAACAAGAAAGCATCTTAGGAACATTGGCATTATACAAGATGTATTATGTCCAAGATGTAATGCAGCGGATGAAACTCCTTTGATGAAAGAAAATTCTGGGAGTTGACACGGGAGATAGTATCAACATTGTGGAAATGGGTGTTGGAAGGCTAATTCGCTATACCTCTTCAGTCGGTCTCCTCTACACTCCCTCGTAACTCACGAATTGTCGTTGATTCATGAATTCAAATTCCAAATTTGTACGTTGCGGAAATAAGTGGTCGGATAAATAGGAGGGTGGGGGATGGGGTAACAAATAAAACTCGAACCGCGTAATTTTCCCTTCATTTAATGCTCACAATAGCGGTTACAGTATGTTTGCCCTTTTATTGGTTTTTGTTTGTATTTTCCTACCACGAACTGAAAACCTAGCACGAAAAGCGCAACTATTATCGTACCGTAGGCCTCGGTGTTAAACATACGTAAAACATCGTCGTAGTCGACGAATTTCATTGTACAATGTTCGTAATAATTAACCAACGCGAAACGCGCGAAAAATATTACAATATATTACAACATTATTAGGTTTCTCGTCCAACAAATATAAAAATTTATTTATTTTTTTATTTGCGATAAGGCGTGCCCAAACGGAGGCTCTTCGTGACGCGGTAACGTTCGTACGTCACACGAACAAGTACAAACGAGTCTTGGCAGTGTGGCATCGTGCGAAAATGCCGTAACTAGTGCGCGATGCAAAAAATTAAACAACTCTCACCCTCTCTCTCTCGCTCTCTCTCTCTCTCTCTCTCGATACCGTAATCATGTGAGCGCGCTACGAAATTTACTAACATTCTTTCTTAAGATACTACGCTAACTTAACTCCAACCGGAAAAATAAACTATATAAACATAAAAACAATCAACAAGTACTATACTAAGAGGCGGGGGCGTGTTTCCCTCCGACCGATGTGGTTGCGTAGCAACGCCCCGGCCAATCGGACGCGGCCGTGGGCCCGCCTCCTCCCCCACCAGGCTTGACCGAAACCACGCCCCGCCGAGTAACAGAGCGCCAGCTGCCGAATTAGAAACTACGGGGTGGGAGGCGCCCGACAGATGAAACCCGTAATTGGGCGTTGAAGTGTAGTCGCCGTCATTGTTAATTGTGCGCGTGACTCAAACTGGTCTTGGTTGGTTGAAAACTCCGGAATCCGGAGGTTTGACGACACAGCGTACATTTTGTAAAACACAAAAGGAAATAATCTCGTCGTATTATTTACGATATTCATAAGCAAAAGTGATTGTGACAATGAAAATATAAAACACAGCGTATAAAGTAAAACTCTGTATTACGATAAAAATTTGTTATCCTATTAGATCTCCGTACAAAGCTATGTATTAATCCACTAGGTTCAACGAAATTCCCGCTCTTTATGCCGAAAGAAAAAAGGGCACATCAGGTAACAAAGTAGTAGGATCTCTTACCTTCTTTTATCTCTAGATCTCTAGATAGGGAGGAAACAAAAGCGAAATATCATTACGACGCTCCGGAAGGGATGGAGAAAACTTGGCCAAAACTGGCTGACGCTAGATAGAAACTTTCTAAAGCATGTATATAACAGTGTTGGTAGCTGCCTAGATGAGAAGAGAAAAAAGAATGGTAGTCGTGATTGGAAACTAACCCATGATAGTTTAAGAATATCAAGCGTTTGTCGGTCACAGGTACGAAAATGGGATGCAGGAATTAAATTACTTCCCTTAGATAACCGCGTTGCACATCCCCAAATCTCCCAAAGTCTACTAAAGTCCGAAGAAAAATTGTCCCTTAATATGATAGATGCAGTGAAGCTTCGAAAGGAGTTGCAAGATTGATGGATTGATGGATGGATCGGTGGAAAGCGTAACTAAGAGAACACCAAGAGGAAGAAGTTCATACTGTTAAAGAAACGCCGAAAATAAAAGTCAAAGTACGAAAATTCTTTTTAACTGCATAACTGCGGCATAAAATGCCCCGATCACAGCGCCCCCTACACCTTAACAAAACGATCAAATTTATGGAATTTCAAAAACGAAAGTGATTAGATAAATAAATTTTTAGACTCTATTTACCGAGATACATTGACGTATATATTGAGCTCGCTAATAAATTAAATTACTCATGAAACCTGGCTAGTATAACACCTGACTGGAATTTTGGTAATGCTAATTTTTCATACCCCTGAGGGTGTATTTAGAAGCCTGGCAGCGGTAAGTAGCTCTCTGCATTTAAATCATGGTTTTATGAACATCTCTTGCAAGTTTAGGCTTAAAACCGTTTCTATGAATGAAATATACATTGCCTAAGTTGCCTATTGTGAACCTGGAAGTAAAAATCGCCTCCCATGCTGGAAAGAAGTGGTTCTGTCAGATTGTTAACCAGAATCAACCTCATCATGGCAGTTTGTTGATATTTTGGAACGTCTAATAGACAAATATAATACAAAAATAAAAAATGAAGCAGGTTGTCTCAAACGTCAAGTTTGTGGAATTCAGAGCGGAGAAAGGGGTGTCAATACTACAATAACTGGGCTGTATGTGAGAAGGAACTTAAAAGAGGTAGCCTTACTGAAATTTCCCGCACTGGTTACATTATTCTTGTTACTAGATGGTCATACTGCTGATAGTAAAAATTTGAAGTTCGCCAGTCTGCAGCCTCTTGATGTAGAAGAACCAATAACCATGCACAAAGTCTGAAGACCATTTGTTGGTCCAGTTGAAGTTCAGAATAATCAACATAAAGAAGATCTCTAAATTTGCAATCCACATCCGGAGTAAGAGCTCAATATATTAAAAGTACACGTAAAGTAAAGAAACACCGGCCGCAGAGGAAAGTTGGGACTTCTTTATCCATTAAAAGGGGTTCAGAGGACACATTAGAAGACTCGACAGCAAAACTCTTTATGCTGAAATTTTCGAGGTATTAAATTTTAATTATATAAACTTTTTTCACATTTTGAGAGGCTCTTATTGTGTTTTACCGCATGGTTCGATTTAAAAAACCGTTTTGCCTAAGTTGAACTCGAAACAAGTAAATATCAATTACAAACAAACAATGTAGGCAACTCCACCGTAAGTTTAATCGCCGTGTCGTAAAACCCTTCGTGGTAATTGAAAAACCATCCACCCCGTAATATAAAAGGCCGACAGGGATGCCGAAACCCATTTCCGGGCGAAAATAACAAAAAAAAAAAATCACGAAGGTACGCAAAACTATTGTTTTCCTACTGAATGTCGTATTAAAATTAACACTACGAAATGATGACTACAGAATGCGCATGGTTTATATACAAATGTCGCGTTTTCAATTTTACGCGAAGGAACACGCCCTCGATTCGCTTTGTTTTCGTCTTACGCGACCTGACGATGACCGCCTTGAATTACGAAACGTTGTCCCGTCGCGTAAAACTTAAACGTCTTCGTACTTTGCCAGTTTGTTCTGCAACACGAGGTTTTCTTTTTTCAGTCGTTCCAATTCTTGACGGAGTCCCACGTTCTGCAAATGAAAATCGCACATTATCCAACTTCCATAGTAAACGCAACATATTAAGTTTAAGACCATTTGCGTTGCTCAAGAAGAAAGGCACGGATGACGGTACTGAGTGAACTCATCTATGGAAACGTTAAGTCTTCGCCTACCAACAGTTGCGACTTTTTGAAACTATAAAAATTGCAGAATATGCGATATTATTGTTATTATTTTATTATAATTGATAAATGTACTTGAAAGGAGAAGAATAGTTTTCAACTCTTCCAGTCTTTAACCTTTCAAGATTACGTTTTAAGACATCGTTTTATATCATAAAATCGAAGAGAACTTTTTAAAAAGATAAATAAATGGTAAATCAATAAATAAATACATACATACATGTAAATTATGCAACTGCATTAAAAGTTATAAATAAGCATGTCAATAGTTTTATGGTATAAAATCGTAGCAAACTTGTTAAAAGGATAAATAAATAGTAATAAATAAAATATTTTATTTATTTATTTTATTTATTTATATTTTATATTAAAAAAAAAACATGTAAATAATGCGACTATATTAAAAGTAGTATAATACTTGAAGGCAATGTTTTTATTTTTTTATGTTTTAGGACCGAGTTTTGTGTCATAAAGTACTAACTAATAAGTAATATAAATAAATAAATATTAAATCGCAATCTTGATCATCATGAAAAATACCACTAATATTAATATAAATACGTACTTTTTTAAATAAAAGTTGTTAAAGTTTACAGAAAAAATTAATATAAAAATTATTATTAAAAAATTTGAAAAAAAAAATATTTTGATAAGTCACGTGTGGTTGATACGCCACTGTCTATTTTGACATTTTAATTATTTATCATTATTATTATGCAAGAAAGAACGGCGCTAATAAATGTTGTGTTTTAAATAAAAACGACTTGAAACCAAAGAACAAAGAAAAAAGAAACAACGTCGGATCTTCAACTTTGATTCGGACATCTTACAAGTATGAGGTAGTCACAAAAATTAATTGCACATCTTAAATATATGAGGTTAGGTGATTTCGCTGAAACGTAAGCAACAAAAAGGCCTTATTTTCAAGGTAGCTGTGATGAGGTAATCCACAACAACAAGTAAACAAGAAACTTCACGTTGGATCTTCAATTTTCGTCATAAGAAACTGTTCGGACATCTTATAAGTATGAGGTAGGGGATTTCACTGACATTCAAGCAAATTATGGACCTCTTTTTTAAAGTAATCCTAAATAATAATAAGTCAAGAAGAAAGTTAGATTTGGTCAAGAAAATCTTAAAGGTACCAGGTTAAGGGATTTCGCTGAAACGTAAGCAAATAACTGACCTCCTTTTCGAGGTAGCCCGCCCTCAGCGCGATCTGGTTTTCTTTCATTCGTCGCGCGTCCCTCGATCTCTTGGCCGCGAGGTTGTTCTTCCTGCGTCGGGCCCAATATTTGTCGTCTTTGAGGTCGTCGGGCACGAACTGCTTCCGCGACTTCTTGATGATCGGTTGCGGTTTGAGTTCCTCATCTGAAAATGCTCTTGTCCGTGGATCGAAGTCTCGACAACTCGAAGCCATCGATAACGCTTCAGAAAAAACTGAATTTTAGACATTAGCATTGTGCCGTCACGTTCGATTCTCGGCCGCGAGCCTTACTAAGCTTCTTTCTGGTTGCTTCACTCGTGACGGTAGCTTTCGCGACCTCAGGTGACGCGTCATCGGCTCAGAAGTGGGACAGATTGAGAATGCCGTACTTGAGGAGAATCAATGTGACACGTGCACAGATCCTCGAAAGAATGGAACAAAAAGGAAAATCTATAGACGGAAGCAATGATTGACAAGTTTGTCTTTATTTGTTCTATTAGATTCATAACTTGCAACAAAACGTCAACATTAAGTTGAGTGATCGGATCAGAACAGATAATTGTTTATAGGCAATACGTCGAAAAAAGGATGCTACTTTGAACGATCTTCTCAGAGTGGGAGTGGAAGAAAACAAATTGATATCGCTTCAGAGTTATTATTTAGTTCAAACGTTGAGCTGCAAATATTAATCTGACGTCTAGCAGTAGAGAATTAGAGCAAGTCAAAAGGTCCTTTGGAGTAAGCGAGCAAATAAGTGGCTTCAAGGATATCTCCATCTTAATTTGGAATAAGTAGATGCATAGAGTTCCGACGAACATAACCTAAACAAAGGAACTTCAGACGAAGACACGTAAGTGGCCGCCTAATACGACACGATGGACGTAGGTAAAAATGCTGAGTCGCCTGTGACCTATTACTTATTATGTACTCCCTTTGTTGGGGTTCTGTTCGTGTGAATTCTCGTTGTGCATCTACTGCCATAGGTTGAACAAGTGAAGAAACACGCGTCATCCTTATTGGAGTGTCATTCAAATGATTGCGATCGGTATAGAGTTTATCTCTATTAGCACCAAATAGAATGATGATCCGAGTCATTAGGTTCCAATTCAAGTGTTTTGCTTAGTTTTGAAAGAAATAATTTAAGCACATTCAGTGCATTAATGAAAGGAGCAGTAATTGAAGAAATTAATGTAATCAGACAACCTCCGCTAGGGGATAGAACCAGAAGAAGAAGTGTATATTGATCTCTAAAAAACAAAATAGAGAACTCTTGCTTTCATTTGGTAAGCAATACATAGAAAGTAATCAAATGATCTTTTGACATTAATTTGAGAGGTTCAACTCGACAGATACAGAATCCATGTCGAAGGACATCAAAGTTTGAGATTAGATTTATTTATTTATTATTATTTATATGATTTCCGCGTATAATGTTTTTCGTTTTTCTGAAGATTAGTAAGGCTTCTCGATGTAAGTTCAACAACTCGCGAATGAAACAAATGGTGCAATGGTGAGATAAAAATAATATAAATTTCCGTTAAAAAAAAATATAGTCAAAAATACTGCAAAGTAGGAGGAGTTCAACTTACATAAAAAAAAATGTTGAAATGATACCTAAAACAAAGTGGAGAGTGTCCAAAACAAAAACGGGCACTTAGTATATGTTTTATGTATAGCTATATACCGGCGCTTGAGATAAAAATATGCAATTTAATTCATTAATAAGGGTTGAATATTGTGAAAATTTCCAGCATTGAAACAATAGAGTTAAAGAGTTCCATTTTATTTCATCAGGAAGGCGATTGATTAAAAGGCTTGCATCCTCAATGTACAGGGTGATCTAGACGAAATTTTCTATTTGGAAAAAGGTATATGAATTATGTTGTTGAAAGAATGAATATCTTCGTTTTGAGTAAAGTTGTTTCTATTTTTGAATACATATATACTGAGCACAAATATAAACAAACTTGGTAAGGTCAGAATGCAACGAATCCCTCTTTTCTGTGCTAAAAAGACTTCTGTCGATTGTATCGTAGACAAGATTCAAGGCGAGAATAATAATAACCGTCAGTACAGTGCGCAAATTCCTCAGCACGTAAATATTCATCGATCATAATACTCAACACTCTCATACTGAACCACTGGACAATCTTCAAAATGAGACTAGAACATATTTTCTGAGGGGGGTGGAAGAATCTTAAAAACGTTGCCTAATAGGGATTTAAAAACAGTTACCAATTATTGGCGTGGCTCAATATAGCGTGAAACGTGAATTTGTAGAAATAGTTTCTACATCATTGATAGGACAGGACCTAAAACCGATCCCTGCGGAACACCTATATCAATATCAACTTTGTAATTAAAAACACTGACAAGCTGCTTGCGCTCCTGCAAAAAGGAGTTTGCGGACGCCGACATTTGTTTGGAAAGTCGATTCACGATAACTGCATTTCTTTTAATGGTCACAATTTTTTGTTTATCTAGCCTTGTTCGTTTTCCATGAAATACAAAATTTTAGAATCGCGGCAAATTTTTGAACGACTTTATTCTGAAAATCATCGTCCAAAAAAATATACACGGTGAGCCATTAAAAATAACAAACTTTAGGTTACTTCCTGGTGAAACCGGAAACGCAATTCAATATTTTTATGCCGCAACTCCAACATACTCCGAACCGCATATTTTTATCTCAAGGCATTTTGAAATTCCGCCGGTACATATCTGTATTCTTATTTTTACACTATTTAAAGTGTTGTGATGAAGAATAAGAAATCATAAGAAATTGATAATTTTGGCGCCATTGATGTTTCTCTTGTTTTGGACCCGCAGGTACAGGGTGGTCTATTTAATCAATAGTATTTTTATGTATACAGGGTGTTCGATTTTGCCATGGCAGTAACCAACAACCAAGAATACGATATTAATTAGGTTTAGTTAGATTTAAAATAAAATACACGAGTTGTGGCAGGACGTAGGCCATATTTTTTGAAATAAAATTTTATTGGTAATTTTTATATATATATATATATATATATATATATATATATATATATATATATATATATATATATATATATATATATATATATATATATATATATATATATATATATATATATATATATATATATATATATATATTTATTTATTTATTTATTTTTTAACCCTAGAAATTACACTGCCTTCTTTTCTATATTAGATTAATTATTAATAAAATTGACTTAATGATCTATTGGTGATTTGGAAATGCAAAACTATATCGAACATAATCTTGCCATTAATATTGAGACCTAATACGTGTTAAGTACTGCAACTAGTTTTTGTGTGTCAGATAAAAAAAATGTTTTTTTTACCCACCTGAATGGTAAAAGTGAAAGGGAAAGGGCGTTTTATTTAAAACAATATTTATATTTTTTTAATTAGAAATAACATTTTTTATGGTAATTTTTGACTACCCTGTCAAAGCATTGAAGATTAACCACTTCCATGGAACCATAATAAAAATTGAAGAAAAAAAATAAAGATGGTTATTGTCCTGTCGCAACGTAAACATAAAAATACTATAAATAAATTATATACAGATTGAGATAAGGTATAGGCGTGTCTTAAATAGACCATCCTGTACATTAAAACAGGGCGGAAAGGAAAACGCCTCGTTTCTGCTCTGAAGATGGTCAACCATCGATATCGATAATGATACTCGATACTCACTCGAATCGGCGGGCGATGGGGGGTTAATGGTGTCCGGACTCATGCAGTCGCTGGGACTTGGAGATCGTTCCCGTTTCGGGAGGGGATGGGTTCCGTTTACGGGACCGATGGCACCGTGGGACCCGAGACCGTCCATGGATACCCCGTTTTCCGATAGGAACTCATCTAAGTCGACATACTAAAACAAATGACGATACGGTACAAAAAAAACCAAGAGGACGAGAATAACTGGGTATACAACTAATTGCGAAACGAAAGATGCCGTCAACAGAATTTTCTTATTCCGTTGAATTATCGATCTACAGGGTGAATTTGGAAAAATAAAAAATGGAAAAATGTGTTAAACAATAAATATGTTCCGGAATATCATCCGTTCGTTGAACTCCGACTGGAATCGTGCAGACGTGTCTAATCTTTAATAAGAGTGTCGGAAGGGTACTTCGCGACTATTTGGAAATGTGCCATAGTAGTACTTGTTCATACAGTTAGATTGGCATCACAAACTACTGACCTCTATCATTTCTTTCTATTCCCGGCAAAATGCTTGAGGCAATTAGAACAGAGGAGTTATTTTTAAAACTTGGTGAAACGCAACATGGCTTTTTTACAGGTACGTCGAATACCACAAATCTATCACTCTATGTTCAGGATGTGTCTTGGACGTTGGATACCAGAATGCAAATGGATGCTGTGTGTACCGATTTCTCCAAGGCATTAGCTAAAAATGTTTATACCATTATATTTAAAATTTTCTAGAAAATCATAAAAATAGCTGTTTTTGACATGAAGCGCGCGTCCTACCGACTCGTAAAGGAATTAATGTGATACTGACGTGCCAGTCGAAGCTCCTATATATACTCTTTAAAACCAAACTAAATTCATCGAAATCGGATTGGCCAAAAAAAAGTTATTCAACTTTTTCTGAATTAATATTTGACCCTTCCTCGCCCTTAATTTGAGGCGATAGAAAAAATAGTTCAAACAATATTTTTGAGATAACCCGTCTATTTTACAGCGCCCTAGCGGCCATTTTGTGAACCTGAAAATAGTTTCCAGCTTTTTCTCTTATCTGTTTTACCTATAAATATCATTTTTTCTAAATTGTAGGACTTTAACTTGAATGTCTTGCAACTAGCATCTATGACCAAAATTTTTGAAGGAACCTTATACGATAATATTTATGACTAAACATTAACTTAACTGTTTGACCGCAGCTACCAGGTAATAGGGGTCAAAAAAAGGTAGGCAGGTCACTGTGGTGTTGCATATTATGTACAATACATACTTTTATCTGGAGTAAACTTTGTTCGGTAGACACATGTATATTCTTTTTAATTTTAATTAGAAATAATCTTGAACATTTCCGTTGAGGTTGTCATATCAAGTCAAGTTCAAAAACTCACTTCACTTGATAAAATGCCGAGGTTGTGTGTCAAGAATCACGACATCAATTTTATAGATGTCTGGGCAAGATAGAGACGTAAGAATCTGTCTCTAGAATTGGACTTGACCGTCTCAATCAACAAAATAGGAAAATCTTATGAGAAAACACAGAACGCAGAAAAAAAAGAAATTTTTTTATAGTTCTTCTTTTTAGGTGCCTTCGGATTTTTGACTCAACTGCTACTAAACCTGACTAAGGTATTTTAAGAAACGAACAAAATTCAATAATTTTGGACATCGAGGATAAGCTGGAGATCTGGAGAACTTACATAAAGCAGCTTTTCAATGACCAACGAGCAACTTACTACGATCCAAAAACAACCGAGAACCCACTTCTAATTACAAGAGATGAAATTGACGACGCTAAAAGGATAGCAAAATTTGGCACAGTAGTGGGGCCAGACGATGCGCAATGTGAGATTTTCAACGTGGCTGACGAATATTCGATGCAGGTACTCTTAGATCTGTATACAAGACTGGTAATATTACCCATGATTGGCTTCTGTCTACTTTTGTTCCAGTCCCAAAAAAATGTCGACCATCTAACTGTGATGACCACCGACTCATGAGTTTAATGAGCCATGTTCTGAAAATACTCCTAAGAATCGTGCACGCCAGATATGCGAAGCTGAAACCTCTGACACGCAATTTGCCATTCTCGCCTTTAACGTTCTTGCCCAGAGATGCCTAGTCGATTATAGCAAAGCGCTTGATAGTGCCAGGCATGAAAAACTAATGGAAATCCTACAAAAACTGAACATCGACTATTACGACATGCAGATTATATCAAAGCTGTATTGGGGTCGATCCGGTAAGGCTAGAATAGAGAACGCTCTCTCCGAAGAGGTCAGCATACGGAAGTTTGTCAAACAGGGGTGTATCTCATCTCCAATGTTATTTAACATATACTCGGAAAATGGGAAAATCCATAATAATATTAGGTACGCTGACGACATTGTTTTGTGTGCGGACTCTCTCGAGGATTTACAGAGACTATTAAACAAAGTAGTGAAAGCTAGCACAGATTGCGGTGTCACCATGAACATCATCATAGTGATAACTAAAAGGAAGCAAGCAACAGGTCAGCTCATCGTAGACGGGACACCAATTGAACAAGTAAGACACTACAAATACCTTGACACCATAATTAATGAAGACGTTCATCATAAACAGAAAATCCTGCCACGCATACAACAGGCACGATAAAATGAAAAAACTATCGACGGCTCCGCAGCTATCACTAACATTAAGTAACAGTAAGGTTTGGTCTATCGTCATTTAGATCAGGAGTGTCAAAAGTGAAGGTACCCATGATGATAAGCAACCTCCAAAGGAGAAGCTGATACAAGAAGAACCCGCTACTAAACCTAGTGGTTTAATACAAGTTTTAGCGCAAAGGTCAAGATCTCAAGAATTTCGTAAACAATTTTGGTTAAAAGGACGGTGGGTGGGTCACCTTGAGGTCCGTTTCGTAGGTCTTGTCCCATAAGTTTGGGCCCAGGAAGGCGGTTTGTGCTTCGACGTTGCTCCACAGCTCGCCGTCATCTTTGTTCTTGTCGTCGCCCAGCAAACTGCTGGCCAGGTCTTTGATCGTCGAGTGGCCGTGAGGATGGTTCGGTTTGCTGTTTCCTGAAACGAAAACGTGCCTTCACAGCGGAGAGTTCAACTTATAGGCTGATCACCCAATAACAAATTGCAATTAACTTAATAAATAATCATAAATTTTTAATATTTTAATTGATTTATCATAAGAATATGTATTTAATAATTACGAGGTATTTTAAAGCCTTTTTGCAATAAAATTGTCGTTGTCGAATACGTCTCGCGTATTTAGTTGGTGAATTGTCAAAGGAGTGAAGTGGAAAACATTTAAATGGCTGGAAGAAAAGAAAATAGCAAATGGCAGTTTTACATTAAAACAACAGATCCACAAAACAAAATATATATATAAATTTTAGATACTTACTTATTTTTATTTTGCGATACATAAAAAAGTATTTAAATTAAATAAATTTAATAAAATCCATTAAACCCTTTACTAATGATTTAAAGAAAAGTTTTTATTTTCATTTCCTCAGCGTCAGTATAACAAACTTTCAGGTTTTAAACATTCAGATATAAAGAATAGGATGGTGATAAAAAAATTCTAAAGGATCACTAGTTACGTTTATTCTTGAAATCTATCAACACAAATATTTCCGTCACCAATACCAACAGGAAAAGATTCCCAATTTTATGTGAACATACCCCCAGAAACCAGTGACAACAAATATGCTTTTATGGATCAAAAATGTATTCAACTACAAGGAAATGAATACCCCCGTAAGACTAAGACTACGTAACCTATTGGATAGTAACAAAAAAGAAAGCAACAGCTACTATAAGAGGCGAAAATATCGCCTGCCCGTAGAGCACAAACGGAAACTACAGAACTGAGGACGTATAAACCGAAAAGATTAGTTTTGCTTCTCTAGCGGAAACTAAACTGAGCGCTATAAACCTCGAAGTAACGAAGCACGAGAACAATTGAGTGAAAATGAAATAACAATAGAGGAAATGACAGCTAGAGTTATATACAAAGACTTTACATTGTAACATGTAAACATTTTGTTTCTAATAAATTAAAAGTAAACGAAGAAATATTGCCTGATGGCGGAGGAGCTATAAATCCCCTTGAACTTTGCTTGCAGTGCTTAGGAAGCATCTCGACGATAATTTTACTTTGTTCTTCACAATTCTTATATGTAAGCAATAAGATATACATAAATATGTGTAGACGTACCGTGCGTTCGATTTATCTTGATAACATTTTAATTGGCTGTAACTTTTTTGTTTCTAGGGATATCAAGGCAAAATGTGGGGTTAATAGCCAAGTTTTTTCCAGGTGACGTACAAAACAAAACACCATCAATTTTCTAATATATTATATTATTTAAATGGAACACCCTGTATATTATGTATGTGTTTAATAGAATATTTTATTCCGATTACAATGATGTAACACACTTTATATTTTAGTCCACTCGTTTTTGACAAATCGGTGAAAATAGGAAATTTTTATATATTTCAAAGAGTGCCCTGACTGGCATACAAAAATATGTTTATGTTTGACATATCAGTCACATTTAGAATAGTTAAGGAATTTTTTACTTTAGTGCGTCTTCTCAATTTTTGGTTTTTGTTCTACCTTAATTTGTAAATAATTATTGATGTCACAGCACTCTTTGAAATTACATAAAAAATTCCTATTTTTGCCGATTTGTCAAAAAAGAATGGACTAAAATATAAAGTGTGTTTCATCATTGTAATTGGAACAAGATGTTCTATTAAACACATATATAATATTGTTAAATTAAAAAAAAGCATGGGTAGGCTTATATGTCAGAAAATTGATAGCGTTTTGTTTTATACGTCACTTGGAAAAATACTTGGCTACTAAACCTACAATTGAACCCACGGTACAATTGTAAGTCAGTTCTCGACAAACCACGCTCGAACAAAATTTTTAAAAAATCAAATTCCTTTTCAAAGACGCACGGAGAACGTCAGAATTCAAGCTGTAACATGTATCTCCGAAAACAACCGAACACGCGCGGTAATATCCCGGAAATGTCCGAAGCGACTCGGATCCGCGAAAAACGAAACTTTCATGGTGCACAATTAGAAAACAATATTCATTATTGAAAACACTGTATCTGTTTTTAGGAATTGGATTGATTTTTTTAATCCAATAGGCACGAACGTGGTGGAACCAAATTTCGAGGCTACTTTTTTTTTAGTTATAAAAATAAAACTAGCTGAACGCAATACCTTTGTTTCTCAGCGCTACCATGTACTGGTACACTTGGCCCAAAAGGACGTTATAAAAAGTCGCGTTACCGGCGCTACACATATCGTCTACGTAATCGAAAGTGCACTAAAACATCGACGCTCAATGCCCCACTGTCCGAACGCAAACCGAAGCGCTAAACATTTTTTTGTCGATTATGGTAAAATTCGGTGATAAAAAATCGCTTCCGAACAAAAAGTTATACGAAAGAGGATGCACACGACACTCTGCCAAGGCCGACTCGTTTTTTGCGGCCACAAGGAAGAACCAAGCCCGGCTTGATGTGTAACGGATAACGGGAGAGCCAAACAACGCGATCTTTTTAATCCGCATATAAAATTTTTAGAGATTTTACCTTAATTTAAGGGTTTCGATTCGGAATTTTGGGTCGTAGCTTCTCAAATTGAAAAAAAGAAATTTGTGTTTTACGGTTAAAAAGGAGTCTTATTTTTTATATACAACCATTGTAAGGTAAACAAAAATAAATATCAAAAGCATTGAATTCCGTTCTGTCATTTTTTTTACTTAAAAAAAGGAGGTTTTTTAAAACTAAAACTAAACTTACATTTAATGAGAATTACATTTCAAATAAATATCGGCATTCCCATTGAGAGTAAAAAAAATAAAATAAAAACAATTAATAACAATACTATAGTGTACGGAGACTTATTTGACATAGTTTCTTTTAAAAACTTAATAATAAAAAATGTAATACATATCATAAAAAGGAATATAGGAATTTTTTAACAAAATCTAGTCAATCGCACCTCCAGTTTGAGCGGAAGCGACGGTAGGTTTCAAATTTTAAATGGCACAACCTACATTTTTTTGCAGTTTTGGATTCAGGATAGGACGGGTTTCCTGTTTTTTTCTTTTACTTCATTTTTGAAAATTGTGTCTAGGAGGCTGTGACCATCGTAAATACCATTTACCGGGTCGTCTGATCATTGCCTAATGACAAATAGCATTTAACGTAATGAACTATTAATATTTTAGTGTTTTCAAATAGCGCCCTAGTGGAAACAAAAACTTTTTAAAACTGGTACTTGTTTTGCAACATTTTGACAGCAAAATTTTCAAAATTCGTTATAAAATAAGCTCACATGAAGGAAAAAACCAGATAAGTAAATACTTTTTAATAAAAGCAAAATATTACTTAGGTGGCTTTGCTTCTATTCATCATCAAGTAGCCATGATTAAAAATTCTGTCCATTTTTATCTGATTATCGATTTTGTCTTGTTATCGATTTGGATTATCATGGAAAACGATAATAAATTTACAAATGGAGAAAAAGTAGTTTTTTGACTTGCGATTATACAATTTTCTGTAGTCCGTAATTTTATTGAATGTATATCAACACTTAAAGTCGCCTGATTTGTGCTATATGCCTATATGACTTGCTACAACCCATGTTGATTTGGGCAAACGCATTTTCAAAAATTGCAAATATTATTGTCAAAACAAAACAAGTCATAAAATTGAATTCAAAGTAAGCTGGATGTTTGGAGTGCAGAATATTTACTCTCGCACACATACGTTATTCTACAAACGTTTATGCGGATCTTTTACGTATCCCATAGAAAGTACAAATAAAAAACACGAGAAAATCGCCGCCTTTCGACAAGAATCGAGTTTACTTATAACGCTTTTGCCGACATTTTTATTTCGTTTATTGAAACGCGACAAAAAAAAATAATAATCACAATTGTAATTGCTGAGCCGTTCGAACAGACGAAATGTGGCGAAAAAACTTGGCATTGAGTCGTTTATTTACGTTACGCTGGGTTTGAATGGAATTATATATCCGTTCTAGGCGGCAAAACTATCGATATGGGATACGTGTACACAGTGAAACCGTACGTCGTGAATTTAGTCTTGCGAAGCACACATAAAAAAATGACGGGCAATTTAAAAGTGATGGGAAAAGTTTACAACGATATACAGCTTAAATGGTGCCGTCGCTATAACAAAAACTAAGTGGTCTGAATGTCTCTTTATTAATTTGAAAAAAAAAAAACAACTTATTTGAATTAAGTTAGTAGAGAGGCTTGTAAAAAAGTATGAATTACTTGTGTAAGACGCATATATTTTTTAAGCTACCCCCTCTAAAATTTTAGTACGTACGACGCAATAAGCAATCAGATGTTTTCTTAAAAAGCCGCATTTCTCGCCCCTCGCTCTAGTTTTGGGGTGCAGTAACATTTTAAAAAATATCTTTTCGGCATTTCTCGGTTAACCGTGCATTGAACTGTTGCGGGTTGTGTTTGCGTTACGTGAAATTGCGAAGACTTAAACGTGAGGGTTCTCACGAGTACAGTAGTTGCATTTCATGATGTTTTCATTTTATTGGCCAAAATACCAAAGTACCAAATGGTTTATTTATTGACGGTTTCCTTTTTAATTTCTAAAATATACCCAAGGAATTTGGGTAAATATTAGAGTGTTCTCTCTCAGAACTACTTTAAACATTGTTCATTTGCTTGTTGAAAGTCGAGTGACTCGGCCCTTGTTGTTGTTGTTGTTGTGTTTTATTGTTGTTTATTTCGCGTGTCTCTGCCCTTAGTATCCATTGCACGATCGGAATAATCAGCACTAGTGAATGAAAGAGGTACCATGCGTGTCTCTGCCCTTAATACCAATATACTGTCGCGTGTCTTTGCCCTTAGTATCCATTGCACGATCGGAATAATCAGCACTAGTGAATGAAAGAGGTACTATGCGTGTCTCTGCCCTTAGCATCCATTGCACGATCGGAATAATCAGCACTAGTGAATGAAAGAGGTACCATGCGTGTCTCTG